TTTTTTTTTTTTTTTTTTTTTTTTTTTTTTTTTTATTGGAAAAAAAAACTTAGTTTAGGCCCGAAGGACTCACCCTTGTTGCAGCAGGCTTGGGTGTGGCCTGCTGTTGTTGTAGTCGCTGGGGTTGTGCGCTGTTGTTGCTGGTGTTGAGCGCTGCTACTGTTAGCGTTGTGCGCTGTTGTTGTTGGTGTTGCGCGCTGTTGTCCACGCTGCTGTGGCGGGCATTGTTGCACCCGCTGCTGTGGCGGTTGTTGTTGTGGATGGCTCGGTGTTGCTTCCGCGCGTTGTTGCACCCGCTGCTGTGGCGGATGTTGTTGCCTGCGCACGTTGTTGCGCGTTTTATTTGTCGCTGTAGCGCGCTGCTGTAGTCGCGCGTTGTTGCACCCTGCTGTAGCGGTTGTTGTTGTCGATGGTGCGGTGTTGCTTCCGCGCGTCGTTGCACCCGCTGCTGTGGCGGATGTTGTTACCTGCGCACGTTGTTGCTTCGCTGCGCGCTGTACTCGCTACTGTGGCGGTTCTTGCTGCTTCCTATAGCGCGTGTTACGTGTGCGTTGTTACAGTAGCCGCTACTGTGGCGGCGTCGTGAATACCGTGCTGGGCGGTGTGCGGACTGGGGCAGTACCTGCAAAAGTGGAAATTAATTAACCGGGATTTATATCTTGAATAATTCCTAATGTATACAAAAGTAACAAAATTCATAAAGAGTTATCCACCTGCATCGCAAGGTGCGAGTTACAGCGTATAACACACAATTTGATGTCCGACATGGGGGCCAATTAGTAAAGTGAAGGCCTTTTTCATTACTTCACATAAAATTAAGATTATATTTTAAAAGGTAACTAGATTCGTTTTCCAACCAAATTTTTCACTGTGAAAACTTTTCTCCACAACGTTTTGTGCCTGTGAAAAAGAAAACTTGCGCGATTTTCTCAAATCCTTTCCGGTGATAAAGAATATCATTGTCTTAACTCACAATAATTTACTAAACTTTTACTTGCTAGATGTTAACGGAATAGCATTTAATGATCGAGAAACGCTTAAAATGATAGAACGGATCGATAAAGTGAAAAAAATTAATTTTCACGGGCATTGAACTTCTCTCATTTTTACTACACGTTTCGTAAAACCAGAATGGCTCCATGGTTTACTAAATTCTTCTATAGCAGGTCGATTTTAAGATTTAAAAAAAAAAATAAAAACACACTTCAGCGCAACGTTTCGCACGATTTCGGTAATCCCCCGACTTCGTAACCCGCTGTTCTTCTAACGATTTGCTTAGAATCTCACAGAAAATCATGCTTACCTAATCCAGTGTTAGCAGATAGAGGACTGTGCGTTGTATTTGCCACCCTGCGGTTACGGACAAATGGATGTGTGTGCTGCTGGAGCGCCAGATTGGTTTCCTTGGTGTTGCCGTGGTGCTGCGGCTGCGGAGGGAGCGTGGAGTGCGATGGAGCTTCCGGCGCACAATAGTAGTGCGTCGGTCGGGCTTGGGGGGCGCTGACGCGCAACTGTGGAGCACGCTGGTTCCTCTGGGCGCTTCTGACGGGCGAGCAAAATGCAACTGCGAGCTCGTTCTCGCAGCTTGCCGCTGTTGAGGTAAAGGTGTCGTTGTCCCGATGGTGCACGGATACGGGATGCGCCTTAGCTGCTCAAAAACTACCCGCTTCCTGCACTGGCACGTTTTAGCAGAAAAAAATTTGTTTTCGTTTTTAGTTTTTCTATTGTTTTAAATTTATTTTCCTTTTTTCCACTTTATCGCGTTAGAGCGATTTAACTGTTCTTTTTAGACACTTTTCTTTTTAATTTTAATTGAAATTGTTTTATTTTTTTACCGCTTCACTTTAACCGGCTGAATGAAAATATATGTTTCATTTTTTTTCCGGCTGTTCCGCACTTCGCTGTTGAATGACATACAAATGGCCGATCGTGGGGTTGCCAGCGGGTTTTTATACCTTTGCACTGCGGGAAATTAGTTATTCCCGTTGGAAGAATAACGGTCACTGCGTCATTTGGACTGGTTCCGTTACTCTTCCACCGGGAATTTGCCGCAGTGCAAGGAGGAATGTCAAAAGAATGTTCGAGGCTGTCCGGGGTTACCATGACTCTTAACCGTAAAAAAAAATCTTTGAAAATAGCTAGTTAACAATTTTGACAGTTTCGTGATGAATACAAACGTCAGAATTTTATCTAGCTCATGTGCTAGGTAAAATTTCACAGCTTCTTAGTGTAATCAAACCTTATCATGAGTTCCATTTTTTTATTTTAATTTTTTTTTTTGAACCGGTTCACTTTTCAACTTTTGGTTTCCATGCATTTACCAAGGCGAATTTATCTAAGGTGGTGTTACTAGCTCAGCTGATTTTATGTATGTGTTTCGCCGCACGGCTTCTGATATCAAATTGAAAAATTTTGTTTGAATTTCTACACACACTCTTAAAGATTTTGACAGTTTATGCCGCCAAAGCAAAACGAAATACAAGTAAATTTTTGTTTTTGTACTCCTGCTATCACCTTATATTAATTCGCCTTGGCATTTACTATGGTCGGTGGAACAGTTTTCGGGCGAAACTCAGGATAAGGCAGAATATTGTGGGGGGGGTAATAAGGAATGAAAATCAAAATGGAATCCGATAAAACAAAATAACGTCCGTTACTTGCAAGTTATAAAATAAAAGTAAATTTAACCATTTCAGCAACAAACGAAATAGAGCTTCTGCACGAGCGTTTGTTTGGGTTTTTCCTTTTTTTTTCAACTGTCAAAATTTTTCTTTGCGTTTGGCACAGTAAAACTCAATTTATTCGTACACCATGCCGAAAAAGTTACCGATTGCTACCGGCTCTATATCAGAATATTGATAACGTTGCCGCAAGAATGTTTTAGTACATAGGAAAACGTAGCTGTCAAACTGCCAAGACACCGCAGTAGATGCCAAAATACAAGCCCTGATCTATATTGCTTCTATATTCTAACATTTGTGTCAAGATATAAACTCAATCCTGTGAAGACGGGCAGTTACAGACGGCTGTCACAAACAATCCCCAGCCTCCGCGGAAAGCGTCTATTAACCGAAACAAAAAAAAAGTAGACGAACAGACCTGCTGGAACCAGTGACAATCGGTGACACTGTCCGCAAGGAACACAGCTATCGCAAAATGGCAGACCTTCCATGCAGTTTGGTTGTTGCCGTACGCTCTAGAAAAAGTATTAGATGGTGCAATTTATGGCACGCTACCGGGTGCACTATACGCCGAAGAATAAAGTATTTATATTTTGTGCGGCGAACAGTAACCCATAACAAACCTGCTTCACTTCACGACTCGTCACAGAAGCGAACAGGGAAAAGGGTTAACTGTCTTCGCAAGGTGTCCGCAAGGGAGTTAGGTGGTAAAATCACTAGAACGTGGGGCACGACTCACCCCTGAGATAAAGAGTCTAAAAAAAAAATAAGTATTTAGCCGGGCAAGGAATTACAACCCCGTAGATGCGTCTGGTGGCAGTTCGAATTCGCCAGACTCAGTATTGCGAGACTAGGAAGTTTTTGTCTATGATATTGGACCACTGAAGTTAACGCTTGTACTACATTCCGCGTCAGTATTCACCTGTAATGCTGGGTGGATCAGTTTTGTATAGTCGGTCTCCGAAAAAATAAGTCTACTGATTTAGTCAATACTGAGCCGGGCTCCTGTAATTCTTGTATTCATAAAACAATGAGTTAAATGTTTTGAAAGGTTCAATCTGGGGGTTCAGTAAATCAGGGTGGTTTTCGTAATGCTGGTAGAAAAAAAAAAGAATAATATAAAACTTAGGTCAGAGTTTGCTTAGCATACTCGACTCGGAACTCAATCCCGGTTGTGACTAAGTATGGGTCGAGTTAGCGTTCATTTCGAAATGCTTGAGTCAGAATTATACCGAGTAGACTCTGGAAAAATAATTCAAGTCCGGTGTTGCGGTGGTTCTCTATTGTTTTAGGCCAGAGAAGCCTACCCCCCAAAGTGCCGAACTTAGTCGGTCTTTACACCCTGCCCCCC